GGCTGGAGCACCTCTCCTGTGAGGACAGGCTGAGAGAGTTGGGCTTGTTCAGCCTGGAGAAGAGAAGGCTGCGGGGAGACCTGATTGCAGCATTTCAGTACTTTAAGGGAGCCTATAGGAAAGATGGGGACAATCTGTTTAGTAGAGACAACAGTGATAGGACGAGGGGTAATGGTTTTAAACTAAAACAGGGTAGGTTTAGGCTAGATATAAGGAAGAAATTCTTTACAATGAGGGTGGTGAAACACTGGAACGGGTTGCCCAGAGAGGTAGTGGAGGCCCCATCACTGGAAACATTCAAGACCAGGTTGGACAGGGCTCTGAGCAACCTGATCTAGTTAGTGGTGCCCCTGCTCGCTGCGGGGGGGTTGGACTAGATGACCTCTAGGGGTCCCTTCCAACCCAAAACTTTCTATGATTCTATAGAATCCCTGACCCCTAGAGCAGGCCACTGAAATCCAGCTGTGTGAAGAAAGCATCCACACTGTGCACTGCCTAGCTTAGCACTCCCTGCCAGACGTGACTATTTGTGCAATGCATCACACATGTATTGCTGTATCAACCTTTTAACTGCCCATAACACAGACCAGTTAAAAAGCAAATAAGCCCACAATTACTGCACAGACAAAACCAGTAATTTCTTATCCTCTGCCACCATATTAGGCTGCTAACATCCAACCAAAACTGTAAGAGGTATCTGCGTCTACATCTCATAATGCTTTGTAGGTCTGCAGACCACAACTTTCAAGTTCTGTTTCAGTTATTCTGAATTTTGTACTTCTTTGGCCAAGGAAAGCAAGAACAAAAAATTCATCTGATATGAATCAGTTTTCAAATGCAAGAAAGAACACAAATTTAAACAGAAACAGCTATTCCTAGTTAATGCCATGTGCACATGCCTATTCCTGTATGAAAGCACTCCACTATCTGATCAATGGTTTTTCAGTGGTATTTACAACGGCTGCAAAGAAGCACTTCCACGGTAAAACCATGCATCTATAGGTACAGTCAGTGGCATCTACGAAGAAATAACTCCAGGGAGGGACAAGCTTTTACACACAAGACCGATGGAGTTCCAAGCTGCAATTTCAGCCTTTAACATCTTCCTGTAAATCCAATGCAAACTCAGACAGCAAGGGAAGTTCTAGCTAGACACATAAAGAAAAGTTTCTTCCATGTCAGCTGGTGACATACAGTACACCCTACACACAAGCCACAATGCTTCCAGCCCCACCTCATCTGCCTGGAAATATAAAAAGTTAAGAAATCTCCTTGCTAGAAACTCCATTCATACAATTAAATAGAGATTTTTGTCTCTTTTTTTTTGTACATACCCAGTCAAACCAGACCTAAGTTTGCACTCAAGTCAGCTCACCTACCGTTCACCCAAATTAAATTCAAGTTACACGCCCAGGAGCCACTTGAGGCTAAACTCCTCGTTTTAGTGTGGGTGTGTTTAAGCTTGTACAGTCCAAATTTATCAAGCACAAGCAAAGCTCACCAACAGATCCAGCATTAGCTCTTCCAATGTATAAACATTTTAAGTCTGAGTTTTAGTTACTTTAATGACCAGTAACACAAACAGAAAGCATGGAGGTCACAGTTTCTGCGTGCGTGCAAGTGCCCTCTTTCTCTCTCAACAGAGACTTAACGTTTATTCATGTTAAATCACTTCTACATCCCACTGCTGTATGTGGAAACAGGGTCATTCACTGACATACAGCAGAAGCAGGAAATAAGATAAAAGCTACACAGAATGAGTGACAAAATGAGGGGTTAGAGGGAGTCCCCGAACCAAGCACAGGTGGAAGAACAAAATACAGGGAGTTAGGGAAAAAGAAGAATGAGTAACTCTTCATGTATTCCATATTCTAAGAAAACACACAGCCTTACCAGTCAGAACTCTTATCTTTTTCCCAATTCTCTCCATTCTTTGAAGTAGTTCCTTAAAAGGCAACATGAGCCTCATCTTCCTTTAAAACTGGCTATTTTCAGGGTTTTTCTTACAAGGCCAAAAAGAGGATGGGGACAATAAAACAGGAGAAGATTCTGCTTGAAATCAAAGCTAACAGAACAGCCCTGGTCTCGCTTCTAATACAGGAGAGCAAAGCAGACTTTCAGCCTACTTTAGACTTTACAGTCATAAGTCTTGTGGAAGTTCCCTGGAGTACAAATGGGAAACGAGAATCTTGAGTATCAATGGGTGGTTAAAAAAAAAATCCCATGTTTAAAAATGTTTGGTTACAAACATCACTAAGGATCCTCTTCCCCTCCTAGGTAGAATTATAAACATTTCTTAATTTCAACATCTTAAAAGTCAATTGCATCACCTGGAAGCTAGGTGCCACGTAGCAGTATAGCTCAGTATCTTCACTTATGCAGGACTCTCTACCAACTATTTACCAGGCACCTGTGAAAATTATTCATATGCATAAAAACTGTGGCTTTTAGGATTGTGATTCAAGTAGGAACATCTAATTTTTCTTGTGAAAGTAATGTAAGAACTGCCATTTCCATCATGTTATGCAACAGATAAAGAAGCATGTTTCGTTAACATTTAGACTCCCTTTGCTTACTTCTCTTAATTGTTACAGTGCTTCCCCCACCACGTAAACTTTAACAAGAACTGGAAAAAAAAAAATTAAAACCAACTTCAGAAATTGTTTCCATTTTAAAAACAGATAAAGTGTATTTTCTCTACTGAGGTACAACTAAAATATCAAAATAATTATTAAAAACTCACTTTGAAGGATATGCTTAAATAATCTATTGCTTTTAAAATACACTTGCATTCTTTTTGCTTATTTTGTGTTAAAGCATTTCAGGACAGTGTAGACTCAGTAACAGTCCACAGGGCAGCTCCGCAACTCCTTGTGCTTGCTGTCCATTCCTAGCATGCAAGGCTACCATACAGCTGCGTCAACACCGAACCAGCTAAAAGACAGGAGGTAGTTTCACACTTGGTCAGACAGGATCCAAATCCAAGCAGCTGCTCTCCTAGATACCAGCCACCATATCCAGACATGCTTTCCTTCTTCTCTTGCATCAGCAATAATAATCACGCTTGTTGATCCTAGCGGAAACCAGCACTGCACAGCTCTGACCCAGAGCAAAGGTAGGTCCAACTCACAGCACAGCCATATGACCAATACTGCCAATGTCAGGGAGGGAACAGGAACGATCGCTGCAGGAAGAAGACAGGACTGCCTACTTCGGAAGTGTCACGGTTTTAAAATGATTTAAGTGAGACATGATACCCTGCACTCTACTCCGGGGCAAAAAAAACCCTCGCCCTCCAACACACACACACACACACGCAAATTGCACTCACAACACACACTGTAATAACAAAACTGAAGAGCTGACAAACCACTGCCACACACACACTTTGTCTTCAGGCCGTTCTGATCCTGGATCTGGGTGTCCAAGCAGAGACAGGAATACTACATTAATGAAAGAAAAGAAAGAACCAGAGAGAACAGAATGAAATGCTAACCAGCTTAGGGACT